GCTCAGTAGTAGAGCATCGAACGCGCGTCATTCGAAGGTCGCAGGTTCGGATCCTGCCACGGCAAGTTATCTTTCACCACTTTTCTTCATATTTACATTACATTCGCTCTAATGTCTGTCCCCTATACTTTCCTTGCATTATTGTCTGTTAGATCTCATTCATATGTGTAAAACACGGAAAAAACGAGCCCTTAGGTATACACTTTTTTCCTTATTCATTAACGAGGTCCTCGTACTGGCAGACTTAGTGCCTTTAGGCTGTATACGAGGGAATATGGTCAGCTGCCACTCGTAATAAGTTCACGTGCTACGTGACAGCCAAACAGGCTCAAAAGAGTGTGCCACACTCGCCGCCATGGCTACTGGTGGCGCTGACTGACACTCCCACGTTTAAATTCCAATATAAACCCCATAAAGTGGCTGGGGGTAGCTGTCGTGGTAGCTCGTGGTAGAGCATCGAACGCGTCATTCGAAGGTCGCAGGTTCCGATCTCTCCGCGGCAAGTTATCTTTTCACCCACTTTTCTTCATATATACATTGCAATTTGCTTCATTATCTTCCCCTATACTTTCCTTGCCATTATTGTCTGTTAGATCTCATTCATATTGTGTAAAACACGGAAAAAACGAAGCCCTTAGGTAGTACACTTCTTTTCTTACTCATTAACGAGGGTCTCGTACTGGCAGACTAATGCCTTTCGGCTGTATACGAGGGACTATGGTCAGCTGCCCACTCGTAACAAGTTCACGTGCTACGTGACGCGAAACAGGCTCAAAAGAGTGTGCCACAATCGCCGCCCATGGATACTGGTGGCGCTGACATAATCTCCACGTTTAATCCACATATAAACCCTATAAAGTGGCTGGGGGGATACGCTGTCGTAGTAGCTCAGTGGTTAGAGCATCGAACGCGTACCATTCGAAGGTCGCAGGTTCCGGACTCCTGCCCACGGCAAGTTATCGTTTCACCAACTTTTCTTCATATTTACATTACAATTGGCTCCTAATATCTTCCCCTATACTTTCCTTGCCATTATTGTCTGTTAGATCTCATTTGTATTGTGTAAAAACACGGAAAAACTAGCCCTTAGGTATACACTTCTTTCTTTATTCATTAACGAGTGTCTCGTAGTGGCAGACTTAGTGCCTTTAGGCTGTACACGAGGGAATATTGGTCGGCTGCCCACTTTTAGGAAGTTCACGTGCTACGTGAAGCCAAACAGGCTCAAAAGAGTGTGCCACACTCGCTGCCGTGGCTACTGGTGGCGCTGACTCACACTCCCACGTTTAATTCACATATAAACCCCATAAAGTGGCTGGGGGATAGCTGTCGTGGTAGCTCAGTAGTAGAGCCTCGAACGCGTCATTCGAAGGTCGCAGGTTCCGATCCTACCCACGGCAAGTTATCTTTTCAACCACTTTTCTTTATATATACATTGCAATTTGCTCTAATATCTTCCCCTATACTTTCCTTGCCATTATTGTCTGTTATATCTCATCTTAGGTATACACTTATTATCTTATTCATTAACGAGGGTCTCGTACTGGCAGACTTAGTGCCTTTCGGCTGTATACGAGGGACTATTGGTCAGCTGCCCACTCGTAACAAGTTCACGTGCTACCTGACGCAAACAGGCTCAAAAGAGTGTGCCACACTCGCTGCCATGGTTACTGGTGGCGCTGACATAATCTTCCACGTTTAATCCACATATAACCCTATAAAGTGGCTGGGGGATAGCTGTCGTGGTAGCTCAGTGGTAGAGCATCGAACGCGTCATTCGAAGGTCGCTGGTTCCGATCCGGCCCACGGCAAGTTATCGTTTCACCAACTTTTCTTCATATATACATTGCAATTTGCTTCATTATCTTCCCCTATACTTTCCTTGCCATTATTGTCTGTTAGATCTCATTCATATTGTGTAAAAACACGGAAAAACGAGCCCTTAGGTGTACACTTCTTTTCTTATTCATTAACGAGGGTCTCGTACTGGCAGACTTAATGCTTTTCGGCTGTATACGAGGGACTATTGGTCAGCTGCCCACTCGTAACAAGTTCACGTGCTACGTGACGCGAAACAGGCTCAAATAGTGTGCCACACTCGCCGCCAAGGCTACTGGTGGCGCTGACATAATCTCCCACGTTTAATCCACATATAAACCCTATAAAGCGGCTGGGGGGATAGCTGTCGTAGTAGCTCAGTGGTAGAGCATCGAACGCACCATTCGAAGGTCGCAGGTTCGGATCCTGCCCACGGCAAGTTATCGTTTCAGCCACTTTTCTTCATATTTACATTGCAATTGGCTCTAATATCTTTCCCTATACTTTCCTTGCCATTATTGTCCGTTAGATCTCACTCGTATTGTGTAAAAACACGGAAAAACGAGCCCTTAGGTATACACTTCTTTCCTTATTCATTAACGAGGGTCTCGTACTGGCAGACTTAGTGCCTTTAGGCTCTATACTAGGGACTATTGGTCAGCTGCTGTCTCGTACTGGCAGACTTAGTGCCTTTAGGCTGTATACGAGGGACTATTCACTGGACAGCTGCCCACTTGTAACAAGTTCACGTGCTACGTGACACCAAACAGGCTCAAAAGAGTGTGCCACACTCGCCGCCAGTGCTACTGGTGGCGCTGACTAACACTCCCACGTTTAAATAATATAAAAACCCTATAAAGTAGCTTGGGTGATAGCTGTCGTGGTAGCTCAGTGGTAGAGCATCGAACCCGTCATTCGAAGGTCGCCTGGTCCCGATCCTGCCCGCGGCAAGTTATCTTTTCACCCACTTTTCTTTATATATACATTGCGATTTCCTCTAATATCTTCCCCTATACTTTCCTTGCCATTATTGTCTGTTATATCTCATCTTAGGTATACACTTATTATCTTATTCATTAACGAGGGTCTCGTACTGGCAGACTTAGTGCCTTTCGGCTGTATACGAGGGACTATTGGTCAGTTGCCCACTCGTAACAAGTTCACGTGCTACCTGACGCCAAACAGGCTCAAAAGAGTGTGCCACACTCGCCGCCATGGTTACTGGTGGCGCTGACATAATCTTCCACGTTTAATCCACATATAAACCCTATAAAGTGGCTGGGGGGATAGCTGTCGTGGTAGCTCAGTGGTAGAGCATCGAACGCGTCATTCGAAGGTCGCAGGTTCCGATCCGGCACACGGCAAGTTATCGTTTCACCAACTTTTCTTCATATATACATTGCAATTTGCTCCATTATCTTCCCCTATACTTTCCTTGCCATTATTGTCTGTTAGATCTCTTTCATATTGTGTAAAACACGGAAAAACAAGCCCTTAGGTATACACTTCTTTTCTTACTCATTAACGAGGGTCTCGTACTGGCAGACTTAATGCTTTTCGGCTGTATACGAGGGACTATTGGTCAGCTGCCCACTCGTAACAAGTTCACGTGCTACGTGACGCGAAACAGGCTCAAATAGTGTGCCACACTCGCCGCCAAGGCTACTGGTGGCGCTGACATAATCTCCCACGTTTAATCCACATATAAACCCTATAAAGCGGCTGGGGGGATAGCTGTCGTAGTAGCTCAGTGGTAGAGCATCGAACGCACCATTCGAAGGTCGCAGGTTCGGATCCTGCCCACGGCAAGTTATCGTTTCAGCCACTTTTCTTCATATTTACATTGCAATTGGCTCTAATATCTTTCCCTATACTTTCCTTGCCATTATTGTCCGTTAGATCTCACTCGTATTGTGTAAAAACACGGAAAAACGAGCCCTTAGGTATACACTTCTTTCCTTATTCATTAACGAGGGTCTCGTACTGACAGACTTAGTGCCTTTAGGCTCTATACTAGGGACTATTGGTCAGCTGCTGTCTCGTACTGGCAGACTTAGTGCCTTTAGGTTGTATACGAGGGACTATTGGTCAGCTACCCACTCGTAACAAGTTCACGTGCTACGTGACGCCAAACAATCTCAAGAGTGTGCCACACTCGCTGCCATGGCTACTTGTGGCGCTGACTGACACTCCCGCGTTTAATTCCCATATAAAGCATACGGAGTGGCCCGGGGGGATAGCTGTGTTGGTAGCTCAGTGGTAGAGCATCGAACGCGCCATTCGAAGGTCGCAGGTTCGGATCCTGCCCACGGCAAGTTATCGTTTCACCCACTTTTCTTCATGTTTACATTGCAGTTGGCTCTAATGTCTTCCCCTATACTTTCCTTGCCATTATTGTCTGTGAGATCTCATTCATATTGTGTAAAAACACGGAAAAACGAGCCCTTAGGTATACACTTCTTTCATTATTCATTAACGAGGGTCTCGTAGTGGCAGACTTAGTGACTTTAGGCTGTATATGAGGGACTATTGGTCAGCTGCCCACTTTTAAGAAGTTCACGGGCTACGTGACGCCAAACAGGCTCAAAAGAGTGTGCCACACTCGCCGCCGTGGGTACTGGTGGCGCTGACTGACACTCCCACGTTTAATTCACATATAAACCCTATAAAGTGGCTGGGGGATAGCTGCAGTGGTAGCTCAGTATTAGAGCATCGAACGCGTCATTCGAAGGTCGCAGGTTCCGATCCTACCCACGGCAAGTTATCTTTTCACCCACTTTTCTTTATATATACATTCCAATTTGCTCAAATGTCTTCCCCTATACTTTCCTTGGCATTATTGTCTGTTAGATCTCATTCATATTGTGTAAAAACACAGAAAAACGAGCCCTTGGTATACACTTCTTTCCTTATATATATATATATATTAATCGAAAAACGAAAATTTTTCGTTCTGCTGCCCATTCTCCTTTTCAAAATATTGTTTCACTAGATCGAAGGACCCCGTCTCCTTAAAACACACACACACACACACGCACTGTTCACAAGTGAAGTTTACTATAGTGATTGTGTTAGTCGAGCGGTTTTGTAAAGCTAGTGCAGTTTGGCAGAAGTAACGAATGCTCAACCAATAGACCATAGGCTTACTCTGAGCAAATGGCCCGAATAAAAAGATCTGCGAGTCAACCTGAAAGTATAAGTTTGTTGTTTTATTTCTTTTTCAACGCACATCACCTACACATTCACTCCTACTAAGCGGGCACAAAAACAGCTCTCACATGCACACAACATAAATTAAAACTACTTCGAGCCATAGTCATTCGCAGGTGCCACCACTCTTACAAATTCGCGATCTGCTCTAGAAACAGGACCCGTGCACAGAAGCCAGTGAATCTCGCTTAAAGCCACACCTTCAGAAGCACGCTCAAAGCACCCCGAGTCTTTGAACTCTGGCTGGGGTACAAATAAACAAACATACAGAACTCACGACATATCACCCTGCCCTAAAACCACACGACCTCCGAGTGACCTTGATGAACCCTTCAAACCATCAAATGAACAGAATGTGTCTCTTGTAATATCTTTCCAACTCGTGATGCTGCTTGAGCAGCTGGTAGCATAGAATGCATTCTGCTTGGAATGCATTCTGTGAGTTTAGATGCACCCCTGTTACATAGCAAGTGGAGAACACTCGCAGGATCATTTGGCATGTCTTTTTGATTATGTGGGTGTAGGGTGGGAATGCAAATAAGATTGGAACAAAAAAGTGTGCTCCGTTGTGAAGTGCATAGCTGGTACAAATGTTTTTTAATGCAGCTGGAATGACAAGGGATGGCGAATTGTTTTTCGGCTTATCTGGTGGCATTTCAGTTTGCAATGACAGCTGTGTAATGTGACAGCTGTGTAACTTATGAATCAACAATGAGCAACGATACAGCAGTAAACATTAGGCCAAAAGCTTCAACACAATTGCTTAAACGAACATTTTCCCCAGGAAGACCATGTGACCTTTGCCAAAAATGGTTCAACTGCTTCAATTGAGCCATATTCTTGCAACTGCTTCAATTGTGCCATATTCTTGCACTTCCACAATTTCTAAGTGTGGATTACAAAAGTTTGCTATTGAAGAGTCTTATCCCCATAAAAATGCAGAAACTTTATTTTCTACTATGCGCTGTCTCGGATATCACACACTTCTGTTTCCTAGTGAGATTTACTATGCAATGCATCTCCACTTTCCCCAAAACTTGCAGAGTTTAGTGAAATATGGTATTTACAACTTCTGAAATCCCTAAAGAACTAACATGGCGAATCTTGTCAACAGCACGTGTGGCTGTCGTTTCTTGTGTACTCGAATGTGTTGAAATGACAAGCTTTTGACAATGAGTGGCAGTGGAAGATATAGAAATAAGGGGTTTCAGGGAAAACAAGGTGACAGATAAAAGAGGCGAGTAAGACAATTCTGTTGGGATTTGAAAGTTTTTAGGACCACTGGCTCTCCAGACCACGAGAGCTGCGAGTTGGGGAAACCAGCTGCAATGAAGTGCACACAGCTTTTCTGCAAGAACGTCACTCACAGGAGACACAAAACGCTCAAAAAGACGCACAAAGAAGTACCAGCTCGCCACACTCACGATGGCTTGCACAAAATTAATCTCTGCCACACTACTCACACACAGCCTGCAGCGGTTAATCATTGTTCATAGATGTCAGAGCTGGACACAGGCTTCAGCAATATCACTACCACAGTCACTGTGAAAGCACCACTTGCACACACACAAGACAGCGAGGAAAATTTTTTTTCTAAATAACTATTGAGCAACTGTATTCATTTAGTGTCCTGAAAAGATATCCAAAGCAGAAGCAATATACACAGCAGCATGCGGAGGGAGAGTTGCAGTGATCACAAACCTCTGTTTGAAGGAATGCTGTACTGTACCCAACCAGGCTTATTCATACGCAAACATGCCACGAGGCACAGAACACAGAAAAATGAAAAGGAGTAGTCTATTATGCTTTCATAAGCACACATGCCCAACAGAGCCTTGCATCTGGACCATGAGTCAAGGCCTCGGGCCATCATGTGGCCAGAAAAAAGGCCATGCCCATAAGGTTTGGCGCAAATAGTGAGCGCAAATAGTGGGCTTCAAAGAACTAAAAGACACTGCTTCAGGAACTCATCTCCCATGGCATACAAGAAGGGACCTGTAGAGAACATCATGTAGGCTAGGTGACACACATGCTTGAAGGTCAGTGCCCGCAAGTCAATGCCAACAAAACTGCACCAAACTTTTGTTTCTCTCATAGCAATAAACTTTTCCCTTGTGCAATATAAACACAGTCCCCTAGGGAGAAACTCCTGAATCTACACCATCTCACAGTGCAAAAGGGGCAACCGCTAAAACCAACACAAGTCACATGTAATGGTGCCTATTCTCAAAATGTAATGAACTCTGTTACTAGTGGATTTAAAAAAACTTGCAAAAGAACAATTAACAGTCATGCACAATTACGAGAAAACTTTATACATACATAATTGATGATCACACAACTTCATGCAGTAGCCGCAAGCTCGTGTGGCCACAGGTACTCAGTCGAAGCAAGTTCGAACTTGATGGGTCAGCAAAGAAAAAAAGGGATGCAGGCATGTACATTGTACACAGCAACTGCCCTCATTAGCAACTAAGTTTTCCACCAAAAGAACGAAAAAACTTGCTGCTCGAAATTCATGTAACAAATATTTTTCACTGGCAGAAAGGAGCAAATAAACACTGAATAGGAAACACGGGAGCCATAAATCTACTGCAAGAAGATACAAGAAAACAAACAATTTCCACAAGATCAGTGCAGAAGAGGTTTAACATCACACACTATCAAGATGGACAAGGGTTGGCCTTGAATACATTAGTGACCAAATCAGAAGATAAGACTTTTGCATGAATGCACTCAGAATTGTTTGGCTACTAAGATCCAAGCCACGCGGAGAGACAAGGTTGATTCCTTTTTCACGGTTGCATGTGCATAGACATCTCTCCACATGCAGGCGCTTGCAAGTTTTCAGGACCTTACTCTCAAACGTTGAGTGCCATAGCACCTACTCTTCACGTGCACGACTAAGTGCCGTACCGTACTACTGACAGAGAACGCAGGTATACAAATTTTTTTCTGTGTGCCTCAGTAGGATGCTATGCACAGCCCTCTTCACTGGCAAGCACTCGCTCGAGATCCCCCGAAGTGTTGCACATGGAATCCATTCAAGTGCACTAAAGTTGAGTGCACATTTAGCAGCACCTCAGTGTTGACTAAGAAGTGCTGTCCAAGCACAGAGTGGTCCGTCAGTGCACACGACACTGAATGAACAGCAGCTCAAGAAGACGAACAGTTACTTACTCATTGGTCGATGCTAGTCTTCGCAGTGAAAACTTACGTGATAGTGCATACCTGTTCAACAAGGGACACCAGTTTTTTGGTTAGGTCGAAATGTGTTCACAGAATGGGCTATCATAATGAACCACCAAGATGAAATTCATTGAAGGATTTGAAGTTTCATATGGTGCCACACACCTTATCTGCTGAGAATAGGCTTAGCAGTTTGCTTGTGCAGTACTGCAAAAGCCAACTCAACACACTTGAAACTAAGCCATTTCGGTATTTCACCAAGCCTTAGAAAAGATTAACCAAGCATTTGCGAAAGAAGATGAACACACGTATTTATAGGGAGAAGCTGTCATATATTATACTATTACTACTACGATACTGTCTCACTTGTGATATATATGCTCGGACACTTGGCATGGTCACACACAACCATTCATTGTAGTGTCCCAACAATAGGGCAAGTATCAGTGTTTGTACAACACGGCTCTCGCGCGAGACACAAATTGCATTGTTGAGACTATTTTGAGCTCTTTAATCTATTCAGAACTACAGGACTTTAGTGAGCTATCATCAGCTAACTAGCCTGTATTAAAAAATGATAGAAGTCGTCCTGTACATGGCACATGTTTTCTAAAGGAGCGCATGTATTGTCCCAGTTCAAAGCATCGACCAGTCTAAACATAACAGTGCTGCAAACTGAGGTTGGTGAAAGCATGCAGTGTGCGTAACGCGCTTTTTGAGAAGCACCCAAAAAAGTCAATGCCCTCAAGACTTGGTGAATGAGTGCCTTGATCTCAGCCTTACAGTTGAGCAGTGCTCACAGGCTCATTTCGTAGCAGTGGCTTAACAGAGTGACAAAAATACTGTGTGCAGCACAGCCACGGGCGACTGATGCATGGTGCAGACACCGTTTGCCCATCACGAAAGTTGATAACTCAGCCAGTATCTAACACTCCTGTGCTCAAAACACTCACCACACAAAAACAGCCGAGTGGTACAGACACTGCCAAGTTGTTAAGTGCCGGCACAACGCTAAGATGTACCGACCAAATTGGCAACACTAACACAGTCCACTTTGAGGGCTGCACATGTTCCACTCACACTTTTTTACTACCGGGTAATTCAACCGCAGCAACTTGCATGATGTAGTGAGGCAAGTAAAAAAAAATCACTTGACAGAAGTTTCACTGTCCACAGGTGGGACCCTCATAGCCACAAAAGCCTACACAACACCAGGGCTGCCCAGAGAAAGTTGAGTTGTGCACGAAGTGCCATAGTCGAAGTGTGTCAGCTAATCGAAGCATTAGAGTCCCTCGGTGAGGGGAGGCACAGCCAAATGGAGGCTTCATCCAAATGGCATACGAAGAGTGAGGCCTTGGCACTCCTTAGAACAAACTGCTGTGCAGAGAGCACAGCCCAGAGCATCGGTAAATGTCACTTCGGCCCACCACATCACTGCTCCGCGGAAAGAACATGCAAGATGGCAAGCACTCGTCTATGTTGATTAACACTAAGCTTCAACGAGGAGAAGTGGCAATCAGCGAATCAGTCATGCCTCCACAGCCAGTTGAAAAAATGCCCACACACTGTACACAGTAGCGGTTGTGCTCCCAAGGCTGCAAGCGACAGCTTCAGAGGACGTTGTGCATCTGGGCGGGCTTAGTGTGCATGGTGGTGGTCGTAGAGGTCGCAGTCGGTCGGATCAGCGGCGGTGGCTGCTGTAGGATTGACCAATTGCCAGACTGCCTGCAAACGCAAGACACCCAACAGCACTGAGCTCAGATGGTGGCAGTTGGACGCACTTCACTCATGACCAAGGAACAGTGCAAAAAAAGAAAGATCAATGTTATACACCGCTCTATCCAATCATTCACGCATCTTCCAAAAGAAAAAATGAATCGCGTACTATGCATTCTTATTGAGGTCTTTCCCAGTGTTAACTATTCATTCTTTCAAATTATTAATGCATGGGCAGAAGTGCAGCAGTCTGTTTCTTGCCGTTTATCTCATGTCAATGTTTTATTTACTTTCAATATGTTTAAAGTTGTGTGCAAACTTGTGTACAAAAGAAAAGCTATTTCCCCGCAGGTTAGCATGCCTGCTTTCAAAGTGCCTCCCTCTAAATTAACTCTGGCTAGGCTGTTGTGCACTGAATACATTAGTTGTGTGCAGTAACTTGATTTTTAGAAATTTTTGGCATGCCCCATGCAAATGTGGATGTTCTGCCGCAATTCGTGCAGCATCTGTTAGTGTCTAGGGGGCAGCTCACATTCCTTATTGACTTTTTTTGGTTAAATCAGCTTCGGACAGCTGTCTCCCGGCACAGAGATCGCCAATGTTTCAGGCCGGGCCACAGAAAAAATTTGTAATGACCAATTATCGTGCTCTTATGATCGAGATTCTTTGGCATATGCGGTCTGTGGGAAGCTGTGGAACTGGCATAATTGAAGAACTCTGGCTTAAATGGCTTGTCATGAAATACGTGGCATTCATGCATTATTTTCATGCATTACAGAGAGGGCACAGCACGCATACGACGAACAACATGCCTAAGGTTTTGCTTACACCTATGCAGGTCATGCTGTGTCTTTCTGCCTTCACATTGCCGTACTGCCTCGGAACAGCTATCGTTCTACCGGACGGACAGCGAGACGAGACTGGGATTTATCTACTGGCGAATACGCAGTCACGGCGCATTACGTAATCGGTGGCGAATCTATTAAAGGACCAGCACGACAGCGGATTCTTCAGAGGGCACGGCACGCATCCAACGAACAACATGCCTAAGATTTCGCTTGCACCTATGCAGGTTGGTTACTTTACAAATGTTGTTTGTTATAGAAGTGACGATCGATTTTTGTTACTAGTGCCATGCCCTGGCAGATGTTTCAGTATTCTTCGTCATTGCTAAACAACGATTTCAATACTGCTTTCAGGCGATGTGGAGGAAAACCCTGGGCCCACTAATACTCAAATGCTACAAGCTATTCAGACAACCAAGGGGCCTCAGACCGTAAAATGGACGCACTAAAGGAAGAAATCAGTGCATTGAATGCTAAAACTGAAAAATTAGGTGGTTATTTTATGGTAATACAGGAAATGAATAAACGAATTGAGATCCTAGAGCATATCGTGCAGGAACAAGCTGCTAAACTTGCAGATTATGAAAACCGCAGTCTACGCAATAATTTTGTGCTTTTTGGTGTTCCCGAAAGCAAGAGAGCTTCAGCTGTTGATTTGAAGAAAGTCGTGGTCGATGCGATCTTTAAAGAAACTCTTGGTATAGAAATTTAAACAATTGAAAGAATCCATCGACTTGGTAAGCAAAAACCTGGGAAAGATAGGCCCATAATCATGAAGTTTTATGATTACCGTGAGAAAGAAAGTGTTCTAAAAAACTGCAAGAAACTTAAAGGCACCAATATAACCATAAGCCACGACTACGTCTCGGTTGAAATAAGGCGGAAGCTAGGGAAAAGTGCAGCTTAAGATAGGGCTAAAGGTGCGCAGGTTAAGCTGGTGCATGATTAGATTAAAATAAACAGTGATATATAGGGCCGGGATGTCACTAAAGAAGAACCATACCTGTATCAAAATCATGCAGATAAACAGAAACAGAGATATGCTCTTGAAGCTGCCGGTGCAGGAAGGAGCACTATAAGAAAGAGAGCATGTCATTTAACGCGCTAGGAACCCCCTTTCCTTCACCACAGACATAGCTCGGGCTTCTTTTATTTAATGCCCGAAGCATCATAAACAAAGTAACTGAACTTGAATACTTTTGCTATCACGAAGTCCTCATGTGGTGGCCATAACTGAAACGTGGCTACACAGTTGTGTCCCTGATAACTGCATTGTGCCAGAAGGCTACAAAACCTTTAGATCTGATAGGATCTGATAGGAGGGATCTGATAGGTTTAGATCTGATAGGGGCGGGGTTGCAATCATAGTAAAAAACTGTGTTGTGGCCGCGCATGTTCGAAGCAATGTACTAGAAACAGTGTGGTGTAAAATTAGCCTTTTTAACACAGTATACCTTCTTGGTGTCGTGTATAGACCACCCGCAACAGCATCAGACTATCTTGATAAATTGAATAACTTCCTTTGTGCCCATGTAAATGGGAACACCAGGCTAATTTTTACTGGAGACTTTAATCTGCCTCACATTAACTGGGACTCTTTTTTGCTCGGACACGTTGAGATTTATAGTGGCGAAAAGATGTTGGAAATTATGTTCGCTCATAACTTAACCTATATACATGAATGACATCTTCGTCTCGGTCATTGTTGGACCTGGTGTTCCTTTCAAACAAATTGTACAATTATAATATCTGTGTTGATGAGGGAATTTCAGATCATAGATTGGTCTCTGTTATTATTCCACTGAGTGTTTCACGGGCTAGAACCTATAAGACCAGGAAAGTAAAAGATTACACGAACACAGATGACACTTCGATTCTTGACATGCTGGGGTATTCATTTCGTCATATTGAGCACGCATCCGAGCGCCAAACAGTTGAATTGTGACGTTTTAAAGATATTAAAAATTGCATCGACAAATTCGTTCCTAGTAGAGTAAAACAGACTAAAAAGCGCAATCCGTGGATAACATGAGATATTATTCGCAAAAAGTGAAAGTTAAAAAGGCTGTGGAGGAAAAGAAACCGTGGCTCCGAGGATATAGCACGTGTACGAAAAGAATTGAAGAAATACTTGTTGGAATCTAAGCGCGCTTTTTTTTGGTCAAAAGTTGAGTTCTTTGATTAAACATTCACCTCGCAAGTTCTGGCTTTATATGTCAGATCAGCTCGATAAAATTGACCAGCTGAAACGTGGAAATGAAATCGTGACAAAGAATGTTGATATTGCAGATAGTCTTAACATTTTTTTTCAGTCAGTTTTTACAAGGCGCAGATGTGACACTGAAACAGAGGATGTAATATGCCACTTATCTGAGCCAATGGGTGAGATTACTATCAGTCGAGAAGGAGTATTGTATAGTCTATTGTCTCTTGATTCCAAAAAAGCATGCAGGCCTGATGAAATACCCACCCCTTTTTTTGCAGCATTATGTGGAGTGGATATCTTACTACTTAGAAGTTATTTTTCAAATGTATATTCATACATTATGAAGTATATGAAGTTATATGAAGTATATGAAGTATATGTATATGAAGTTATTTTTCAAATGTACCGTTTATTCGGACGCCGAAAATTCGGACATGCCCGTTTATTCGGACATCTTCGTGGCACCGCCACTCGCCCCATTGAACCTAATGTAAACTCACGACCGAAAATTCGGACGCCCCGCTGTGCGCCGTTCGATTATTCGGACTCCATTTGACTGACCGGATGCGTCGCCGTACGCTATGACACGCTGACAGGGACGTTAACAATACGTTTGCTAGGTTGCCAGCACTGATATGCTGCACTAGCTATGGATGGACGTCGGGCCAGTGTCAAAATGCACGCAGAAATCGCCATTGCCGATCTCGAAGGCTATGTTTGGCGACACGTTTTTTTCGGTTTTAGCCAGTCGAGCGGCCAAGCCAAGCCACTTACGGAGTCTGTTCGCTGTGGCGTTTGGCGTGGTTTGGCGTTTGTGTCAGCGTGTCAGTGGTGTCAGTCAGTTGTTTCTGCGGGTAGGCCTGGTTCGTCTTGTTCTCTGTGTTCTCGCTCTCTTGTGTGTTCCGTGGCGTGCTGAAATGGCTCCGACGCCACCCGTTGCTGCGCCGTTGGGAGTGAAGAAACGCGGCGAACGTGGGAGCTACAAGACGCTCACGATGGCGAAGAAAGCGGAGATAATTCGCCAGGTAGAAGGCGGCCGACCTCAGTCTGAAGTTGCTCGGGAATTTTCCATTTCCAAGCAAACCGTCTCGGACTACCTCAAGCAGAAGGCTAAGATCCTAGAGGCAGCTGAGAAAGCGTCTGCGGGTACGCAGAAAACTTTCCGGGACGGCAGCCACCCGCAGCTTGAAGAAGCGCTGAACATGTGGTTGAGTGCCACGGTGGCTAGGAAAATACCCATGTCTGGCGATCTGCTGAGACAGAAAGCAGAGACGCTCGCCCTGCGCATGGGTATTACCGGCTGCAAGTTCAGTGACGGGTGGTTGCGCAACTTTAAAAAAAGGTACGACCTGGCCTTCAAGCGAATGTGCGGCGAGAGTGGTTCTGTCGACCAAACGCTCGTGACCAACTACGGCGCCGACAAGCTGTGCGCACTGCTGCGCCAGTATCCACAAGAATACGTCTTTAATTGTGACGAGACTGGACTTTTCTATAAGATGCTGCCCGACAAGATGCTAGCTTTGTCTCGCGAACCCTGTCATGGGGGGAAGCATAGCAAGGAGCGACTGACAGTTGTTGTAGGAGGCAACATGACGGGGACGGAGAAACTTCCGCTCCTCGTGATAGGGAAATCGAGAAATCCAAGATGTTTTAAAGGCGTCAAATCACTCCCTGTGTGGTATGAAGCAAATTCGAAGGCGTGGATTACGCAAAACCTCTTCGAACAGTACCTTCGCAAGCTCGACCGCCGGTACGAACAGCAAAATCGCAAGGTGCTGATGTTCGTCGACAACTGCGGTGCCCATGGGCATATCGACAACTTGAAGGCTATGACAGTGGAGTTTTTGCCGCCTAACACGACAAGCGTGTTGCAGCCCATGGACCAGGGCGTGATAAAAAACTTGAAAGTTCATTACCGGTCGCGCCTCCTGAATCGTGTGCTGTTATGCGACGACAGT